AAGGATGAAACAGAAACTGTGCATGATTCAGTTGATAAATTTGAATTTCCAAGTTCGATTATGAACCCTAAAGTGCTTGTCCTGGCCTGCTTATGTTAGCACCGTCCACTAATCCCAGAGGTTTAAAGTACATGTTGTGTTTTGCTGCCACATCAGAAATAAAAAAGTGTCTGCAAAGGTACCTAAGGAAGATGGATAGGTTAGTTGGACTTCAGCGAGAATGATATAGTGTGTGTGACAAATCGTCTGTTGGTCAACCATAAACTGGCCGAAAAAGCACTCTTAGAACTATTCCAGTCAAGATGCAACCTACTGCTGATGGCACAAAACTCTTCAGACAGGCCAGCAGCTAATGCTATTGCTGCCATCACTGTTGTTATTAACTCATCCATCATTGCCTTAGCTAGGTTTGTGAACATGTCTCTCTGGAGTAAAGCTTGCCCTTTTACAGACTCAAACCTGAAACCTGCTTTGTTGATCAGCAGTCAGTTTCAAGATCAATTGCAAGAGGCAGAAGCAAAGATCTTTCTTGTGGAAAATAGACTAGTACATACAACATTAGCTGTACTATGATATTTACTAGACAAACCAACTTGTTCATACTTTTACATCAGCTCACATTTTACCAAGCTGTGCTGATATGTGCCATGTGTTAGATATCATGTTAGTCATTTAGGGAAGAGCTGTGTGGTGTGCTAATGGCTGTACTTTTCACTAAAGTCTGTGTTTGGTGTAAAATACTGGGTGGAAAATTATAGTTTTTTGACTTTCACAAAATACAAAATAAAAAAGGGGGCTGAATGATCATTGGCAATTTTGGCATTTTTGCAGATTATATTTGAAAACAAAAATTTAAAAAATCCAAATATTGTTCATTATGTTTGGAAGACTAGACTGCTTCCTTTTCATAAAACATGTTTTTCAAAACATTATATTTACGCATATAATAAGAAGAACACATAAATATGTGAATTTCCACTCAAAATATTTCATAAGATTAATTTCACTCTTTAATTAGCTTAAATAAATCAAAGCGGTGTTTTTCACTGCTATAGGTCGTAGACTGGTCTACCAGATGCAGCATATTAATTACCTGCAAGTTTCTTTAATACAGTGAATAATCATATTAAAACATAAGTTGTTTACAAAGACAAAGATTTATTATGAAGAAAACAGCAACTCATAACATGAAAGCAGTAATTTGGGGTTTGACATTCAAGGACATTACTGCTGTATGGAGCTCAATTTCATTCAACAGGTTTTGAGGAAAGTATTGATCATTAGTTGACAGAGTCCTCAAAAATCGCGTGTCTGAAATATGATGTAAACAACCTTATAAGGCAAATATTAATTATTTGGTTTACATTCTCAGAAGTGTTTCTCATACATTGCTTTAGCATTACTGACCAGCTTTGGTGGCTATCTGTTTAGCATACTGTTATCATAAGTAGCACAAAACAAACTTTAAGGATAGCGTGCTATGGAGAGCATATAAATGATGCGTATGTTTGTTTATGAGATCAATAGATGTGTCTCTGCTGCGTCCACTGATCTTTTGACCTTATCTGGGAAGGATCTGCCTCTCTGTGATTTCCAGGTCTTCCACTCGTGAATGCCACAGCTGAGTAGTATTTCCTTGTTAGTGAAGCTGCACATTCAGCACCAAGCGCTCCTTTTTGTTTAATTCCTTGCCAAATCTAACAGCCTCTGTTGGGCATTAGATTTAGGCTTACTTAGCATATCTTCAGCATGTTTCTTGCAAATGGCTGGAAAGCCTGTAACCTCTTGGCTGCTCACTACATGTTTTCTTTCATTTTATATTTTAATTACTTTTTTCTGTTTTGTGTCAACCCTCGGGTCAGGTCTAAGGAGTTTAAAAAATAAATCAACTACACTTCTGCAAGTTTCTTTAAGTTTTCGTGACGACGTTCCGTGAAACTTACACAAGTCCAGTCACTTTCTTTACGAGCTCCTTAGATCACCAGGGCCTGGATGATTCACACAGACACCTTGGGTTCAGGTTTTGTAGGTTTTCTTGCTGCTTAGTTTTTGTTTCGTTCTTTTTGTCAGAAAGACTGGTTTATTGGTTTTGGCAGCATTGGAAACCCCAAAGCTTATTTGCTTTCTTTTGGTGCAGTTGTAGTTTAGTGAGAAACTTTCTTTTATGATAATTCATGTACAACCCTGGACTCCAAGTAAAGTAAATCTGTTTATTTAAACTGTTAAACAGGCTTTGACATATTGCATAGCAAACAATAGTTCTGTCAAGATCATTTTGTTACATTCATAGTTATATTTAACAAACTATTTACAAACATTTTAACAATTTCAAAGCCCAAATCATTTCCATAAAGCAAAAAATAAAATTGTTCTCTCATGGACATTTTGAATAACTTCAGATCTGATCTTTTCTGCACTTATCTCATTATCAGTTCTGGAAAAAAAAAAACAACAATGTATTTTTTTTCATCAGAGACCACATTTATAAAAGGATTATTATTCATTAATTTAAAAGAAAAAGTCTAAAGTCTGCTTTTGTGTGTGGCATCACCTCACGTGCCAGCAGGGCCAGACGCTGTCACAGTGGTCCAAATCCTTTGAGTCATTTTCTTCAAAGATTCCTCTTGGCGTTTTGACTCATCCTTACAGCCTAGCTGAAATTCTAGGCGCTAAAATCCTTTGATGCTTTGTTTATATCCTGCCAACAAAATGAAACTCTAATGAAAGAACCCACTCATATCTAAATCTAACGCCATCCTTACCTTTTCATTATTCACAATTTGATGGTAATAAAAATGTTAAATAGATTCTTAGCTTTTCTGTGTGTGTGTGCGCGAGCGTGCGCGTGCGTGCGTGTCAAACAGAATAATTTATGGTGAAAGTAAGTTTCACTATCATTAATGTAACCAAGGTCTACAGCTTCCTCTATAGAGTGTCGCTGTTGAAAAAGCACACACTTCATATGAAGGACTTGCTGTTGCTTTCTGAAAATTAGATCAAAGTGGTTTGACAAGCTCCATTACACTAAAACTGTCACATTTTACCCTTTGACACGTGGATTATATACCAGACCTTACTGGAAAGGAGCAATTGTACAGTGTGCCCGGATGCTCCAGTGAGCATATACAGCTGGCAGCAAAATGAAAAGAAACAAACAAACAAAGATCCAAAGTAGCTGAACCTGTCTTCATAAAGTCATATTTCTTTCAAACAACGGTCCCTTCCTGATTATGTTTGTAGGGCAACATATATTACCCCAAAATAAATTTAAAAGATGAACAAAATCCATATAAAGAACCTGAGAATTGGTGTTGAAGAATGCAGAAACATGACTCCAAATAAATGCCGGTGTCACTTCACATACACACTCTGACTGCAATTTGTGAAACAGTCACGAAATGAATTTATTGATTGGTGTTCATGATTTTCCTTTTGGTTTGTGCAACGATTGCCACACAGTCTGAGAGATGTTTGCGATACACAGAATTATGTCTATTAGTTCATTCTTTTGGAAAAAAGATCTCTGTGCTTATTTGGTGTTTTGAAAGAACAGAGTCCATAGTAGGAGGCAGAAGGTGTTGGCGGTGGCAAGAGTTACTCATTATTCCCTTATGTTTGAGTCCCACAGAGGACCAGTGGTTTTTATGTTTTTCATGCTTTGTACAGAGAACCAAACAATAAAGTGGTTTTCATTCATTTTTTGGTTATGTTTAAGATTCGTGTTGGCCTCGAAGCAAATACATCTTGAACAGTTTTACTGAAACACAGGAAAGAGAGTAGACTACAGAGCTGACTGAGTCTGCAGAGAAAAACACTGGCATAGTACTGTTGCACTGGAATAATGAGCAAGCGAAATACCATTAAAGCCTATTACAATTAGTTTCACAGTCCTAATCAATATCCTGTGTTTTACGCAGCATATTACTGCCAAACTGACCTTTCGCAGTCATTGAGGTCTGCGTTGCTTGCTTAAAGTACAACAATTACTACTTGTTACAAACCTGGCTTTTCTTTTCACTCACCTGTCCCTCTCAGAGGCACAGAACTCTCTTCAAAAGTTAAATGCGTTAACTGCCCTGAAAAAATGATAACAAGAATGTGTGTTGACAAAGAAACAGATCATTTGGTGACTATTTGGTGTTTTTATCTTGAGAGCAGGTATGATTTTGCTGAATTACTCACTGTTTGGTAAAACAGCTGTCAGCCTCAGAGGTCAGAATATGTCAGGTTTGTGTTTGCGGCTTGATTCAGCTGCCCCCTGTGGCCAGTAAAAGTGTTTGCTCATTTTAATATTTCATATCTGTCTTTATTTATCAGCTTCTTGAGTCATTGTCATTCCCACCGCATCCCACACAGGTGCAGGTGTCTGTGAAATAATCCCCTTTGTTGTTGTTTTTTTGTTTTTGCTTTTTTCATTGTGATGACCCAGAAGAACCCAAAAGTATCGAAGTTTCTGTATTTTGCATTTTGTTGTTTGTCGCAGATGTTCTTCAAGAAGCCCATCAGCAGAGGAAAAATGTAATGATCTTTAAGTAAGAATAAGGGGTTTATTTGTTTGCAAGCAACTGCAGCGTTCTCCTAATATCATGAAGTCAAACGTCTTCACAACTGTGACAGATCTTAACAGATACCCGCTTTGTTTGCTTTATGGGGCTTTTCCACGCGCGTGGCTTCCAATTTCCTCGGTTCAAAGGGTGATCGTTCTCAGCCTGACGCTGGACTTGACCGCTCCAGCAGATGCTGTGCACTTTCTTTCATGACCAAAAGCACGTCAATTACCAGCTCCATCCCGCCCCGCCCTGCGTGACAGCAGTATCCAAAAATATATGAATACTATTGAGGTCTCTGTGGATCGCCTGGAGGCAGAGACTCAGGAATAGCGTCAGTTTCGTTTCAAAGCGGAGCAATTATCCCAGGCCAGGCTGGACGAATCGATTCCTGCAGACACTAAATGCTCCTGGCCAATTATAAAGGCAGTGTGTCCTCCTTTATGCTGCCTATTCGTGGGGAAGCCATCAGCAAGCACCGGGACAAAGCCCGGACTACTTTGTTTTCTATCTTCATTCATTAAAAAAATCTTTTATTTTCTTCCCTCTGTTATCGCGTGTTTTTATATTTTGCCTTTTCCACCAGTTACCCGTTCTAATTGTTACTGAGGGGCGCCCCCTTCCTCCTCGCATCATGCTCCACGTGATCACAGCCAGCTGCTGCTGAGAAAGCGAGAGAGAAAGAGGGGGAGAGAGAAACACCAACTCGCCGCGACTCTGAACGCACCGCACATACAAACTAAATCGGGAGGACCGCTGCTCGTTTCACCCGTGGATACTATTACACAAGTGTCGTCGTCTCCAAATCCTGCCCGTGGGATACTCTGGCTTCATCCTCTCTGCTGTGCAGTTTTATCACCTCCTTTTATATCACCCTCCTTTTCTCCCCCTTTGCCATCTTTCTCCCCTCTCCTCATCTTTGAGCATCTTCTCCTGCTCGCAAGTCTTCTCGCTTGCGTCGCTAACTTTTTTCCTCCATCCCACACAGCCTCCTCCATCGCCCACCAACCCCTCGGCAGTGCCCCCACTAGACCTCTTTTTCTCCTTCTCGCACTCTCGCTTGGATCGGGCGGAACCTATTTGGCCGGTCTACACGGGGCACTGCTACATGGGGCGCACGGTCTCGCTCGGAAAATGTTCTGCTGTAGGTCTCTAGGCGCCCCGCTGAACCTGTTGGGATTGGAGTTGTCGGTGCGCGTCTGCGTCTCTTTCCCACCTCGCTTGTGCGGTCGGGGCCAGTGAGAGATGGGTCTGTCCGTGGCGGCTCAGGCACCTCTCGAGGAGCCCAGACGACTGCGCCGGTGGAGCGGGACAGCGGGGGGCTGGCTCAGGATCACACTCGTCTCGTTTCTCGCCACTTTACCTGTGGAGCAGCTGCGCGCCTTCCCTTCCTCCCTCAGCGACTGCCAGACGCCGACCGGCTGGAACTGCTCCGGTGAGAGTCATTTTTATTCAATAGCAGCCTCGCTCCAGGTTGTGTGCAGTAAATATCTAGACGCACATCGAAGTTAAACTCACGTGAGACTAGTGTTAGATCCCCGAGACTGAGCAGCACGACCAGATCAAAGTTTAGGAGTGCGCTTGCAACAGACGCCTCATTCTCCTCGCTGTAGTTTTGTGATTGTGTCCTGTTAGCATGCCCGGGGTCGGTGCTGGAGCCGTGGAGCACTCTGGCTGCAGATACCGACCGCAAAAGCCCGACGATGAGGGGATGCAGAGTTTTGGAGGGGGTTTGCTTGATGTGCATTTAGCCTCGCTGAGTTCGCCTCGGAGCTTGACAGCAAAGCATGCAGCGGCGATCATGTCACCGGGCAGGCGAGCGGGAGGGTCGATGATTTCGATCCGACACGAAGTGGAAGCAGCGACATTAAGGATCATTTTAACGAGAAATAGAGCGGGCGGGGAGGAGTTGGGGTCTGTGGGAAGCTTGTCCACGGAATAAGGCGGCGTGCGCCACAATAACATCAACACGGTTAGTTTGAGGTCGCAGAAATTCCGTTTGAGTTCAAACGGGCTTCTTTCGTGTGGTCTGCCAGTAACCCGAAGCAAAAACACATTCTAGTCAACTCTAGGGTGTTTTATCGCGCTCAGATTGAGCATTAACTTTAACCCAGCAAATTGATCGCAGCAGGAAATTACAGCCTAGTTTTATGGGCTTATTTGGCAGGCAAATTGTTTAATTAATTGACACCTTTAAATAATAAAAAAAAAAAAATGCTGTCGTTTCTTTAACAGACCACTGAGCTATAAACTTGTTTTCTCCCTTTGGTGCCCAAAACGATAAAAGAAGCGGAGCGGGCTGCAGAGCGCAGCGCCTCGCCTCCCTTTGTAAATCAGCCGACTGTGCCGCCATAAATTTCCCCTGTCGCCTGTCTAAGTCTGAACCCTTAAAATAGCTCTAAGCCGGTTCCACACACTCATGGGCAGTAGCAGTATTGATATTATAGCTCATAACAGCCAGACATCAATATGAGAGTTATGACTGCTGTTTGCTGCTTGAAAAAAGGAGTATCAGTGTAGCCTGCTTGGATGACATCTCAATAAAAAGAAAGGGGAAGTCATTTATGACAAAGAGCATAACTGATGCACATGTGACATGTATAGGAATGATATTAAGAAATGCTACATGACAGATCTATATTTGATTCTACAAACTAGACTGCCAACCAGAAAGGGGGATGTCTAATTTGGATATCAAAGTTTTAAAAATGAATTTGATTATGATAATGGGCTGATTAAGTCAGACTTAATTAAGTACACGCAAACAAGAAGCGATTGAACTCTATCGTATTACTGTAACCTGTCAAAGGTTGCTGTCTTTATTCTAATTATCTCTGGTATTCATAGGGTTGAGACCAAAACCGTGATGCAAACAACCGCAACATCAGACCGTGATTCTATCTTCCTGTACCGTGATACCCATGTTGAAGTGCTAATGTTGAAGGATCACTGAGGTAATGAATGAACTGGAAATACATGAGGATAATTTTATGTCATTGATCCACTAATGACAAGCGATCAGGTGTGTGGTACAAGGATTTTTTCCCTTGTTTTTGTTTTATTATTCATCCTGTAATGAAAAGCCCAGGTATCAAGTGAAACCGTGGCCCAAGAATCTACAGTACATGCAGATGAAGTCATGAATGAGTTCATCTGAACAGTACTCTCCTCTGATTCAGGCCGATAATTGATCATATCTTTATTCAGATTACTGCATTGTAACCTACTGGAGGCTGGTTTTGTGCCGCCGCTGTTGATGGTGGTGATCAGCACGTAATCACTGATAATGGTACACATCCTGTCCCAATACACACTCGCCTGCCTCCCCACTTCCTGACACACTCTCATCTGCATTTCAGCGAAAGCTTTTATCCTGCACGCCTTGAGGAGGTTTAAGTGCATATGATAGAACAATGGACAGGCACTCACATGCACCCAGCATCAGTTACAATTAATAGAGCACAACAAGTGACATGTAGTCCACCGTGAAAAGATAAGACCCTTTGAAAGATAATAAAAATAAGATAATGATATTAATAAACCCGCAGTAATGGCACAGGGCTTAATTATCCACTTCTTCCTAACAACACCACCAATGTGTGACAGTTTGCAGTGCAGGGAGAATGGCACTGACTGAAAAACAGTTTGGTGATGAGCCCAATGTCACTTCAGTGCTAAGAAACAGATAATTATGGGCAGTAGTATCAAGAAAACGAGTTGCCAGTTTCAACAGCATCGCCTTTGAAAAAGCAATGAATTCGATTTTGTTTTATGGAATAAAAGGGAGTTAGAAAAAACTTGGTTTGACAAAGACTGCCATTCTGTTTGGCTTGCATCTGTTAATGGCTTGAGGAACTGCCAGCGAGGAGGCAGAACAGCTCAATCTCAATCCTAGAAGGGCACCAAGTGAATGTTTGAGTGTGAGTACAGACATAAAATTGTTCTTCAAATCCCTCGTGTCATCTTGTACTAGGTAGTATTTGTGTAAAGATTTGAATGTACGAGTTGTGGCTCTGTGAAGCTGCAGCAGAAAGAAATGTTTTCCACACTCCTTAAGGTCCTATATAGTATATATTTCTTTAATTAATTATATTTGAGTTAGGCGCGTGGGAAGCTATAATCATTGCATACATTATGTGCCAAGATTTTTAAAAGGGATAACTGAGCTGTGAAATGTTTTTTAACACTTGCCACCATATTGATGGAGTAATGTTACAGAAAATGAAGAATTTGACATGTTGACACACCACAATAGGTTAGGAACAGTACAGTTATAAAGTTAACGAGTGCTGAATTCCATTTAGCTGCTTCAGTTTCTGATGCTGTGCATGTATTGTGCAGACTCCTTGTCACACTGTTATGACTTTCTAGGACACCTGAGTGTAACTGCATCGTTGTTAACGTAATTAAAAACACATGATTTTTTTCCTGCCATGACAAGTCATAATGACTGCTATAAAAAGGGCCCATTTGATCTGTGAGTTGGTCGATTTTCTATTGATTTGTGTTTATACTTGTTGCTGCATCATTATTTGTCCAGTAAAAGGTTATCATTTTCAGGATGTAGAATTAAGGGATTCATTAAAAGCCATAAGAGAAAAGAGGGGATGCTTATTTTTCTTTATTGGTGTTTGTGTCACTTCATGATGACGCATGAAGTAGTTGTGGCATTCAACAGGGTTCAGTGCCAATACTTTTTACCCTCGACATCCTTCATCTAGGCAATATTATCAGAAAACAAGCAGTCATATGTAAAGAACACCAAGGTATTTCTAAATTTAAGTGAAACAAATCAGCTAAAATACCAGCACCTATTAAAGACATAAAGGCCCACATGGCATGTAATTTTCTGTCTGTGAAGTTAGACCTGAATTTGGCCCTACTTGCTATTGTAGACCGACTTAAACATAAGAGTAGCAATGACAAACAGACCATGATATGTCGATTAAAATTCAACATCTTATAGTATGACGTATTTGGTAATAAAAAGTGAAAAAGAGTTAACAAGGTGAAGAGGGTGGTTTCAGATGTGAACTTGTTGTTTCACTTGGGGGCGTAGGATATGTGGAATATTCACTAGAGACTAAATGTCAGATATGTTAGGACTTGGACGTGGATTTTGTTACTTTATAGTCATTTTTCCCTTGTAAAGGTCCTTTATCTAACAAATGAAACACACCCGTCTCGTGTTTAGTATCGTCAAAATCAGGAACATCTAGTTCCTGGATAGTAGCTTGCTGGACACGGACCTTAAGTTGCACAATTTATTGCTGCCTGATCCTGTGATGATGTCGATCAGTGCAACAAGTACATTGAGTTTTAAGATCCTAAAAGGCTCCCTATAGCCAAACTGAAGGCTCGCCTCACCTGTCATTTAATATTGCCTTAACACTACAGTAATGTGTTAATGTTACTACTGTCATGTTGGGACTCTTTGAAACACATTTCTGTACAGATTTGTGCTGGGTAAAATTCTTTCCGGTGACAATTCACCTGCATGCACTCAAAAACTGCTGCTTTATCCAAGATGTCATGCTCATCCAACGCAGTTAACTATATAATTAGAATTTTGTGTAATTATCTCAATCAAACCTGCGATTTTTGGGCTTGTATTGCTTTAAACAAGCAAGTAACGTCTGTGTTATATACCGACTGCACATCAGCTGGCTGATAGACATCCTTAACAGATGTATTTGCAGACTTTTACACACGATCAGCTCAAAGCTTTTGGCTGTATTTGGTCATATTAAAACAAGTAGTAGAACAATGCATTCATAGGTTGCTGAAAGGAATTCAGTCCAATTCAGTTTTATCTTTATCACACATTTCTACTGTAATAATAAACTGTATGAATGACTGCTCACAATTTAATTATACCTTACATCTCCTGTGGGGACATTTCTGTGATAAAGACAATCTGTTCTTCAGTGAGTACTTTGCTATTGTTAACTTTAAAAGTCCATGTGATGCTTTGAGACTTATAGTGACAGGGATAAGTGTAGAATATGCAAAGCCTTCTGCAAATCCCATCAAGTGGAGGGAATTTAAGAGCATTCAGGGGATAACTGGCCATTCGCTTTCGAGATCTGTCAAGACAGAAGTCAGACATACTTGCATGCAGGTTTACACCTCTGACAATAAACTGCAATGAGAGATGAATTTTGAGATAAGCAATGCTGGCTTGGTTTAATCGAACCAATCTGAAGTTGCTAATTGGTTCTATTAAAGTAGTGAAATGAAAGTTTGTCAACTAAGAAGGCTTTATGTTTTACTTTATTTAAAAAAAATCTTGAAAATTTGTTTAAAGTTTCAGGATGTTTTCACACCTGCATGGTTTAGACCATTTAAAGCAAAGTCTAGTGTAATTTTCCTCCTTGTTGCAGTTTGTCTGTGCAAACTGAACACAGATCACACTCAAAAACATCTACATCAACA